CTTTGAATACGAGACGGCCTTAATGATGAGAATTCGAAGGACCAGCGAGGCAGAGAGAGAGAGAGATACGATTTCGTATCCGTTAACAAGATTGCGATGCAAAATCGAAGGAACAGGAACGACGACACAGGCAAGAGGCGAGACAAGAACGTTTTCCCCGGGACGGATTTCCCTCGTTACAACAGAAGAGATTATTGTTGAGACTACCTCTCTATGAGATGCAGCACGTAATTGCGACCCGTTTGCGAGAGGAGAGACGCTGCTCCTTATAATACGCCAAACGACTGGGTGTACTCTCTCACGCGCGCTCCGGCTCCTCCTCTATTCTCATGACAGAAAAAAGTCGCAAAGGGATCGGTACTGAAGCGTAAAAGGCATTATAGCGCGATACAGGTTGAGCAACAGATGTTCCACCTGGTACCTGCTCGGTAATCTCGCAGGAGGGGGGGGAGGGGGAGTTGAAGACGATTAAATACTGCGTTTAGAGAGAGGTATAGAAATTCAATGGCCGGAGGGTGAAGGGAGGTGAAGCCGAAAACCGGCCCGGCGAGAAAGTGTCGAGAGCTCGAGTATTTCCGCTTCGCAGAGGATCACGATCGCGGGTGTTTCCCGCGAGATAAATGTCCCTCTTTCGTGCGGCCCTAATCGTCCCTCGTTTCCGGCTCGAAAGACGATCGACCTCTCTTCTTTCCGCTATCATTATCATTACACTTCCGCCGAAAAAAAATAAACGCTTTGTATATCGAAGGATCGCAACAGGTTTCCGGTCTTCCGTGATCGATAAGATGCGGATCCTTTCAAAAGTCTACATTCTATACAATGGTATCAAAGGATACGTAAATCTATTCTTTGTGCTTTGAAAGCAAGATAGGCGAGCCGCTTACAAGATAGATCTGATCTCATGATTTTTTGTTCAACAGTAACCAACTTAAACTTCGTCATTTAACTGTACAAGACTTTTATACTGGAACTTTTTCAATTCGAAAGTTATCGGCCACGCGACATATTAACTAAGGGAAAAATCCCATCAACTCGGTTTCCATCGTTGCTTGCAAACATCTGTCGTACGATAAACATAAAGAACATCACAAATTCGTCCATGTATTCTCGATTGTATTCATGTCATTAATCTTTGTGGATATCTTATCGAGACCAAATAATGATTGAATAATTATGTCTACTCTACTGGAAATCATGGCGTGATGGATGACGTAAAGCCTGCGCCTGGCGACACGTTATGCGCGGCTCGTTGAATCCAGCTTTACGATTATTTGCGACAGATGTTCGCGCAAGGAGAAACACTCCCCGCGGAATCTTTTTAAAGCCCGGCCGATACGCAATAATAATAATCGCGAGGAGTGATATAACAAAACAGGACGCGTGATCGGATAATTAACTGCTCGCGAGCGGAATTAATCTCGATGTTGTTTTCGCAACTGTTTTCCCAAGCCGACTATCGCGAGCCGAGAATGATTTTGACATAAAGTCGCGAGCGGCTTCTCCTATTTTATACGCGGGCATTTTCTTGTCGCCCGTAGTAATTTCAGGGCCACGCGCGCCTGTCGGCCTGGAGTAAAGCCGCCGATAAAAATAAACCCCTTACCCCCGTAAAATCCCCACAAAAATCGTAAAACGAAGGTGGACGGATGAGCGTCCCGCGGAAAACGTTACGGGCGAGCGTTGTTTGCACAACGGCTGTGCAGCCAAATTAAGTTTTATCACTTCATCGAGCATTCGGCTTTTATGATTTCCCGGGCCGCCGTAATGAAGCGCTTCGCATTTGTTAGGGACGAAATGAGGACAACGATGACCAACGACAATGAATACGGTATTATTCCAACGTCGAATTTTTTCTTGTAGAGGGGATAGTATTTCTTTAATTTTCAGCGAGTACCCTTTAAAATGTAACGATAAAGTTCACGAATAAAAAAAAAATGAAGAAATAAAAGACTGAAAAACAAATATAAATAAATTGTGAAGGAAAATTTTTATGTGTCATCGTAAAAGATTTTATTTTGAAGATATTAAAAAAAAACAAATGATAATTTTTTAATATAAAATCCATAAATAACGTACAAAGATATGTGTGTTAAAATGTGATAACAAATATATAATTATGATAAATACGAACGGAAATACAAAAAGAAAAAAATACAAAAACGGAAATACAAAAAGAAAAAATGGAATTCTTACTGACCAAGTTCAAATAAACGTGATATCTCTTCGAGATATTAATTGATTCCCGTAGAGTCAATAATACAAGAAATAAGAGAGAAATGTCGAAGGCTGGATAAATCTCGCTGCGCGAGGAGAAACGTCGGATTAGCGACGCGGCGAGCGAATGAAATCTAATAAAAATATCCGGTCGTGTCGTACAAGTTATAACTATGTGAGAAAGGAGGGGGGAGGGGAACCATATGGGGAAAATAAAATGAGCGGACGATAAAAGCGAGCCGGCGGCGAAAAGCCGCAGGTACGGTAAATAGCGGCGAGATAGGAGCGATAAATACGCAACGCCCCAATTTCGTGCGATCCGTCCCGTCTCCGACGTCCATCGATCACACTTTTATAGGGGGAAGAAGGAGAACGACGAGATCGACGGGAAAGGGGCATAGTATATACTCTGGGACACGCGGTGTATCACTTAATGAAGAGTTAAGGTGATAAGAGCAATCGACGTCACGGAAAATCCATTTGAAATTGGCCGAAAATTTTATGCTCGCCTAAACGCCTTTAAGATCGTCCCGAAATTTAAAGAGCGACTTCTACATCCTACCAAGATCACCATCCAAGATCATTCTGATCTTTTTCTTCTAACTTAAAAAGAGAGAGACGAGCATCGAGGTAGAGGAATCGCCAGCTGATTCAGATCGGTTATCGAGCCGGGAGGTACCGGCGGTCGTCTTCACAGAGGACGAAAACGCATTATTGCTCCATAGCGGTGGGCCCTTTCCTTTCCTCTCTTTATCTACCTTTTCTTGTTCTTCTTCCCAGGCCGGTTACGAGGCGGGCCCCACGG